TAAAACAACCTCCAATAATGGTGGAGTTAAAAACCTCAGCCTCCGCAATTAATATTAAACAATATCCTCTGAGCAAAGAAGCTAAAGATGGGATAAGGCCCCATATTCAGAAATATCTGGCCTTAGGGGTCCTAAGGCCCTGTCAATCAGCCTGGAACACTCCCCTGCTACCAGTAAAAAAGCCAGGAACCGGGGACTATCACCCCGTTCAAGACCTAAGAAAGATCAACAACAGAGTGCAGGACATTCACCCCACAGTACCTAATCTATTCAATCTGCTTAGCACCCTTAACCCTGAACAAAAATGATATACTGTCCTGGACTTAAAAGATGCTTTCTTTTGCTTGCCTCTGCATAAAAATAGTCAGTTGCTGTTTGCTTTTGAGTTGGTAGACCCAGAAACCGGAACGTCTGATCAACTAACTTGGACCAGAATCCCACAGGGGTTCAAAAACTCCCCCACTCTCTTTGATGAAGCCCTCCACAGAGATCTCAACAACTTCAGAACTACACACCCCGAGGTCACCCTGCTTCAATATGTGGATGACCTGCTACTGGAAGCCGATACCAAGAGAAACTGTAAGTCTGGGACCCAAGCACTGTTATCCGAGCTTGCTCAACTTGGGTATAGAGCTTCTGCCAAAAAGGCCCAAATTTGCCAGCAAGAAGTAATCTTCCTGGACTATTCCCTTAGGGGCAGTAAACGATGGATCACTGAGCCCAGAAAACAAACCGTTGTGCAGATACTATCCCCATCTAACAAGAGGACAAATGAAGAAGCTAAATTGGCAGCCCTAAACGGAATAACCATGTTAACACTTTCCATACGGGGGAAATATGAGTCAGGAGATTTAACTACATCAGAGCACCCCGACAACTTAACATCTAAGGACACTGACACTGAACTCCTTGACTACACTGAGCCTAGCTTGCAATTTCAGAAAGCCCTACACTATGTTAAAAATGTACATCAACTCACTCACCTTGGTTCAAAGAAACTGCAGGCATTCCTAAAGGATCAAGAACAGAGTTTTCTACTAACCGGCTCACAGCGAAAAAAAAAAAATAGCTGAACGAGTAACAAAAGCCTGTCGGGTCTGTCAACTGGTTAATGCTTACCCCTCCAAGCTTCCTGTAGGTAGGCGCCTTCAAGGAACCAGACCAGGACAATTTTGGGAAGTGGACTTTACTAAAATTAAGCCAGCAAGGTATGGACTTAAATATCTCCTAATCTTTGTAGATACATTTTCAGGATGGATT